CATCCGGCCCTTTTTAAGCAAACATAGCCCTTCGTTAACGCCCTTGAGTCATCGTTATCTGTTGATAGACTATCCGCTATCTGACACCGCCTGATTCTGAAGGAAAATCAAAATGGCTTTCAAGTCTAAGTTGTTTTAAAGGAAAAGCGTTTCCATTTTCTTCTCTATTCCCTGAACTTGTTCAAAAAAGATGGTTTCACTGATAACACAATCGAAATCACTTCGAAAAGGCAAAGGGCGTCTGCAAAGAAATTGGAGACTACCGGTTAGTTGAAAATAAAGATGCTTTTGCCTCCGTACATTTTGCTCAATCGATGACAATGTTTCGTTCAGCATACAATCCTCAGGTGACCAATGTAGTGAAGGAATAATCATCCATGTCCTTAATCCAGGATGTATCCGCAGTAATTTTATTTATTGTTTTATTGATTTTATTGTTAATTCCATTGAGAATGGAAATAGTGTTCACGCTGTAAATACAGATTTATCTAAGGCCTTCGATAGAGTTGACATTGATATTCTTCTGTTTCAGTTGAAAATCCTTGGAGTTGGTGATCCTTTATTATCCTTCATCGAATCATTTCTGTCTGGTCGCTCTTTTTCTGTTCTCATTAATAACTCTGTATCGGTTGGATTTCTACATTTTCTGGCGTACCTCAGGGTTCTCACTCCGGGCCCATATTATTTCTTGTTTATTTCAATGATGTTTGTAGTATATTTAAGGATTGTAAGTTTTCTTTATTGGCGGATGATTTAAAATTTTTTAATTCAGTGCCTTCTACTCACGACAGAGTTGGTTTACAGAGGGAACTGGACTGCTTCAATAATTGCTGTCAGCAGAATCGTCTTCCTTTGAATATTAAAAAATGCAAGGTAATTAAATTTTCTAAAAATATCCGACCTCGTGATTTTGATTGTTTTGACTATTTCGTTGATGGGCAGAGATTGGAAGAGGTTGACACTATCTCCGACCTTGGTGTCGTTTTCAGCAGAAAGGGTGATTTCAGTGACCATATCAAACAGATTCGAGGTAAGGGTCTACGCAATCTTGGCTTTATTACTAGGTTTTCTAGAGATTTTAAAAACATCTTGGCAGTTAAAATATTGTATTTCGTAGCCATCTGGAATATGCAAGTGTCGTGTGGTCCCCTTACTACGTTGGTGAGATTGGCGACTTGGAAAAAGTACAAAAGAAGGCAACCAGGATAATGGCCTTCGGATTTGGTCTTGCACACCTGAATTACTTGGAAAGACTGAACTGGCTTGGTCTTGAGTTGCTTAGCTCCCGCCGTTTTTTTGCCGATCTCATTTGCGGTTGGAAATTGTGGAATGGGGCCATTGATATCCTAAACTTGCATTTATCGATATGTGTGCCTCAGCGACCACTTAGGAACCATAATTTGTTCTTTGTTCCACACTACAAAACAGAATATGGACTAAATTCACCCCTACTGAGGATAATGAGATTGCTGAATTATTCTAATGAAATAGAAGTATTTCGCGATTCCTTGAATTCAGTTAAAGTTAAATTGAAATGTTTACTTGCCTTGAATCATTAAGCCTTGTGTTTTTGTTATTATTGTTTAATTGTTCATTTGTTCTTTTTGTTATTATGTGCCTTTTTTGTCTACTCCTCTTGTAGATTCTTTCTTTGGAGTTATAATAAATAAATAATGGGTAATTCTGCTCTATTGTGCGATTCACGGTGGTAATATGACTAAACAAAGATACAATGATATCAGAGACCTTTAGCCGAAGGAAGTTTGAATTGGTTGTAATGTAGAGTCCTGATGAAAATCTCTATTAAGGTAGAAAGCTTGGCATAAGTTACAAAACTTACTTGTTTTGATGACCGCACCCCTGATTCGAAATTCCTAGCGACAGGCCATAATTGTTGTTAATACTACTATTCGAAGATCGTAAGATGCTGTCTGGTGAGACGTAGGTTTTAGAAAAACATTTTCTTTATCGTGCCAACGTTTCGATCTTTATTGAGATCATCTTCAGGGCCCTTGCGTTGTCTGCATTTCAATAAAAAAAGTTCTCTGGTTGATAGCCGATGCAAGTTTCTTCTCATTGTTGGCGATGTCCTTCTGAATACAGTTGCTGATCGTGACATGATCTAAATAAAGATCGAAACGTTGGCATGATAAAGAAAATGCTTTTTCTAAAACCTACGTCTCACCAGATCGCATCTCACGATCTTCGAATAATCATTGACAAACGGTCACTAAACACCACTTATTTCTACACGAGAAGAACGAAGAACATTGGATTCTATGAACAGATTTCAACTGCATGGACTCCAAATTACAAGTATCCTGAAGGACATCGCCAACAATGAGAAGAAACTTGCATCGGCTATCAACCGGAGAACTTGTTTGTTGAAATGCACACAACAGAAGGCCCGGAAGATGATCTCAATAAAGATCTAAACGTTAGCACAATAAAGAAAATGCTTTTTCTAAAACCTACGTCACACCAGACCGCATCTCATGATCTTCGAATAATCATTAACTAACGGACACTAATCACCACATATGTTGTTAATACTCTGGGTTTTTTCAGTTTATTTGTTGGCGGAGTTGTTGAATTAAAATGAAGTATACTTCACTAAAGCTCTCCGTGGCCATTTCATTTGTCGCCGAGAATCCAATCCATAACACGACATTGAAAAATGGCAAAAAGGAGGGAAACTCAAAAGGTGGGGTTGAGATGGGAAGTTAGTGTCCGAGTGGACCGAAATCGCGATAGCTCAAGTGGTAGAGCAGCGGCGTATCTAGCCGAAGGTCGTGGGTTCGAATACCGCTCTTGTCACTGACTTTTTTATCTCAGCCAAAACCTAACATGGAAAGAATAATTAATTAAAATATGTAATAATCTTTCTCAGATTTGATACTAAAATCTAATATCGAAGTTGATACTAAAATTTATTAGAATTTTATCGAAAGACGGCCGTTAGGATTTGAACTAACATCATCGTTTGAACGCGGTTCAAGACAAACTGAAAAACGGCAATTTTTGAGTTGAACTCGGTTCAGACTGAATTGAGTTTAATCCATGTTGATGCAACGGGCCCTTACAAAGTCCTTCCTTTTTTCGGCATATATTTCATGGGTATTTACATATCATATGATTGATATTGAGATTAGGTACATATATGAAAAATTACAAAAACAAAAAGATGTTTCGAAAAACGTAGGCCGTAACAATTTTTTTAATACTAATTAAGAATAGTTTTAAGAATTGTTTAAAGCCTATAAATTCGAATTTTTGGACTAAACAAAAAAAAAATATTTTTGGACTGCTCAAGTAATTTTTTTTTTCTCTGGTGTCCGGTTGTTTCACATAAAAATTCATAGTTCCGCTGAATTTTGTCCAAATTGAATGTTTATACAACCTTAAAAAACTACACTGCCCATAAAAAAAACCCTGATATTTTCTCAGCCTTTTATGTCACAGATCTGCGCTAGGTCTCATTTTTAGAAAATTTTAAGCTGAAAAAGATTGCCTTTTTAAATGTTTTCTTGTTTCAATCATTCATCAATTAAAAAAATCGAGAATGTGTCAATTTTTTCGCTTTTTACGAAAACTTTCAAATTGAGCTTTGGAGACAGGAAATCGTCCTGGAGCGACGCCCCATAGCAATCGAGGAAATTTTAATAAACTAAAATAGGTCACTTTCCACTTTGCTGGATTTCTCAATCGTTTTTGGGTTATTAGCGATTTTTGAGTAAAACCTGGTTTTTTACGTGCTCATGGGATAAAACCGATCAATCTCTCACCCGATTTTCAAGAATGCATAACTTTTGAACCATCAAGTTTTCGCAAATTGTTCGCTCTACAACTTTTGTTTGTAGGACTATTTCAAAAAGTGAACAGGGAAGCAACAATTCTTACCTTTTGACCTTTCCATGAGCACGTAAAAACCACTTTTTTGCCCAAAAATCTCGAATAACTCGAAATCTCTCTTTTTAAGTAGAACATTTCTATTTTTAGTTTGCTATAAATTTCAATGGTGCTTAAAATCAATTTTGGCCTACTTTATTTTTTATATATCTGATCGTATTTAATACTACGTTTCATGTTAACATTATGTATATAATTATTATATTATTTAGTCCAATGATTAATAATAAGAACGATAAAATTTAAACTATTAACCCTTTCAAGTATATAAATTGTATATAAAGACTGACTATCCAAATACATTTAATACTTCAAACGAGCGTGGACTTAATTATTTATGCGTGCTTTAATAAACAGCGACGAGAAAAAAACGAAAAAAGGAAAAATCCCATTATTCCTCTAAGCCTGTAAATTTAATGCCGTAGTGTCCTCTAATAAAGAGATATCCTGTTTCGCACAACTTGGCCCAAATTAAAAAAATCCGAGCCGGACTTTTCTTTTTCGTTTAAATAAGTAATTTTTTAATTTCCGCCTTCCTGTTCCTCCTTGCAGAGTTCACTATTGCAACAATCCTCCAACAATTGCACCAGATTTTTTTTTCCTTCGAATTACACAGGTCAAAAATAAAGTAATTCGCTTTGATTTTCCATCACTTCTGCTCGGGCGTTTCGGATTTGAAATAAACAGGATTTTATGTAATTATAAAGTTGAGTTAGTCTGGTCGAAAATTGTTTGGATTTTATAAGGTTTTTTGTGCTAATGTTGGCAGCATTGTTACGTATGTACGCCTGTTCTCGTTGGAGCTCAGATAAAGGCATCTACATAAAAATTTAAAAAAATTTGATTTATAATCGTCATATTGTCTCTTTTTTTATCGAATTAATTAAAATGTTAATTGTAGATTTGAAATTGTAGATCAAAAACAAACTTTTACAATTTATATTTTTTTATTTTTTTTAAGATATGATTTTTTATTACTAATTTGTCATGGTTTGTGAGATCCTATTGAATTGTAAGATTTGTTTCATATAATAAAGACTGATAAGACTTATTTGGATTAGTTCATTATTTATTGCAATTTTCTTCAGATCCTTTTGACTTTTAATCCGATATAAACAAACAGTTAATGAATCATACGTTCGCGAAACATCTGACAGTAATTATTTGTTGCTTCCAATCGAGCATTCACACTGCACTTCACTTGTTTTTCCACATCAAAATTGCTTTTGGACACCCAAGAGACGGAAAATGGTTGACTACAGCAAGTGGAAGAGCATCGAAATATCCGACGACGAAGACGAAACTCATCCGAACATCGACACCCCTTCGCTGTTCAGATGGAAGCACCAGTGGAGGGTGCAGAGGATGGAAGAGGCGAGGAAAGAAAAAGACGACTTGAAAAAGGCCAAAGAGTCGAACGAGAAGAAAATGGCAGAGATCAAAGTTAAATTGGCCGAAGGCGATAGCTCTGGGCCGGACGTTTCGATGCTGAGAGCAACCTTGAAAGAGTTGGAAGAGTTGGAAGAAAAGCTAAATAGAAGAGAGGAAGAGCTCAAGACGAAAGAGAGGTTGACGCCCTGGAACGTGGACACGATCAGTCAACCCGGTTTCACCAAAACATTGATTAGCAAACCCCTTCCTGAAGAGGTGATGAGCATGCTGTCGGAAATAGAAATAAGCAAGCGCATGCAGGATTTTATAAAGCAGAATGAAAAACAGGTGAAAGAGTTCGGGTCGTTGCAGAGGTACGACGAGAGTCAGAAATTTTTAAAAGAGAATCCCCATCTCGTATGCGAAGACACAGCGAATTACCTCGTTATATGGTGCATCAATCTCGAATTGGAAGATAAGCAGACGACGTCCCAGCTAGTGGCCCATCAGTGCATATGTATGCAGTACATCATCGGCTTGGCCAAGCAGCTCTGCGTGGATCCGAGGGCGTGCGTCGACTCGTTCTACACCAAGATCCAAACCTGCGACGAAGAGTATAAGGCGAGGTTTGAAAAAGAGCAGAGGGACTTCGTCGAGAAGATCAGGCAACGGGCCGCCGAGAAGCTCGTCGAAGCGTACAAGAAGCACATCCCCGGGGATCAGAAAGACAGGCTCGGACCCGGGGGGCTCGATCCAATCGAAGTGTTCGTTTCTCTGCCTCCCAAGATGAAAGAATGCTTCGAAAAACAGGACGTGACCCTCTTGCAGAAGACGGTCGCCGGGATGTCACGTGAGGAAGTCGTGTATCACATGAAGCGTTGTATCGATTCGGGTCTATGGGTACCGAACGAAGACAAAAACCAAACCCAAGTCGCTACAGTCCTAAACAATAGCGACAAAAACTAAGAAAAATTGTAGTCTATAAACCCATGCAATTGACTCTATACTGCACATTAGGGGTCACTCATGTCCGCGAATAGTGCAAGTTGTCTGTCCAAACAAAAACAACAAAATTACTAACAGCAGTAAGTATTGTTAAACATTTATATAATAAAGAACACATGCTACATCCAACAGACCGCAGTGTATGCATTACAAAGTAATATTTTTTTTAAATCACATAAAGATAGAATAAAATATATAAATAACTATTGAAAAAAATCTATTTTATTATTATTTCTAACAAAAACTTAAGATTCAATTCCTGGCATCCAAGCTTAGCCAATTGGGTTCGTGAACTTACTGCTTTATATAAACTGAAATGTTCACATGAATAAACATATGCATTCACACTCTCATTCTCTGTTAAATAAATTCTTTCTTATTTACATACCACTCACTCGTACACACTTATTCGATATTCCTCTATCACCCTTTGTTAGAGTATAACTAACCTATTTGAGGGTCACTGACTCAATCAGCCCGTTTACACATTCACTTTAATACTCTTTTTATGTAAGGTCTTGATTGAGATAAAAAAGTCAGTGTCGCGAGCGGGATTCGAACCCATGACCATCAGCTAAATACGCTCGCTGCTCTACCATTTGAGCTATCGTCACTTCGATCCACTCAGACACCAACCTCCCATCTCAACCCCAACTTTTTGAATTTTCTCTCTTTTTTGCCATTTTCAAATGTCGTGTAATCTATTCGATTCTGGGCGACAAATCAAATTGTCACGGAGAGATTTAGTGAAGTATTTTGCTTATTACATGTAGTCCGATTGAGCAAATGAATTCTTTTCAATTAATTAATTTTTAGTTAAGGTTTTGGTTGAGATAAAAAGTCAGTGTCACAAGCAGGATTCGAACCCATGACATTCAGCTACTTGACTCTACCACTTGAACTATCGTGACTTCGATCCTCTCGGAAACCAACTCTCCATCTCAACATACAACAGTTCGCATTTTCCTTCTTTTTGTCATTTTCAAACGTCGTGCAATCAGGATTTGATTATCTGCGACTTATGACGTGGCCACGGTACCTTTTATCTCAACCAAGACCATACATAAAAAGAATCATTAATTGAAAGGTCCATTGAACACTAAAACATACATTGATTAATATTTAATAAATACATTCATTCTTCACATATGCTAGGGGCATAAAATCTATCAGTACTATACAGAGTGTTACAGGGCAAAATGTCAATACTGCCTTGTTAACTAAATTAAACTGTTGTAGTTCAGTGCCACCAGGATCAGATTTCTATCTTGAGTCCTTCCTGAGATATTAACATTCTTGTGATTGTAGTCTAAAATCTATTCCCATAGGATAGTAATTTCTCAACTTTCGCGACATTAAACTACAAATGTGATTTATTTCGCAAGCTAAGATTAAATTTTTCACGAGATAACAACTTCGGTTGAAAAATTCACGCTTCCGAATATACAGTAGCAGCTCGAAGAATAACCAATGACAAAACTCATGTTTTTTGAAAATAGTCAATTGTGTCTCGTGCAAAGATTTTTTCATCAAAATGTTCCGGGGTTTCAACAAAGTTGCCTTATTTTATAAGTATTCCAAGGACGTACTCAATTTAACATTGTTTATAACTTTTCTTCTTGAAATCTCCTTTGCAAGATTGAAAAACGTGATATCGAATCCAAGTAAAGCAGCAACCAAGTACATCGTATATGTCATATTTTTCATTCAGATGCATTTCCTTCTTTCCTTACGTCATAGCACTTGATTTCAATTTTCTCTATGAACTGTTCGTTTCGATGACTCTATTCAGGATTCCCCCATATTTAAAAATCTGAGCGTCAAAGCAGGGTTCACGTTGGCCATGCCACCAGAAGAATTTATGTAATTTTTGTAACACCCTGTATACAATAAAACAAACTTGATTCCTCCAACACTCGTAACAGCGGACCCCAAATACACGCTGCCGTGTTCAAGCACTGATATCGGGAGGCATACCTAAGCGCTCTCTGTATGGAACAAAGGAATTGAACTTCAATTAGCTGTGAAATCGAGCAACCATTCTATACGCGGGCTTTGGTCCAAAAGTAAGTGTCCTTGTGTCCACCTCGCACGGCTTATCTTTGGAGGATTACTCTTCATTGCCGTTCTACATTCTTTTAATCATGTTTTGTTACATTTTTAGAAGACTCAGATCACGGTGGTTAAGTCTGAAGGTTGGGCCGTCTGGTCGTAGAATCTTGATCAGTATTTTTGTTATCCTCCATACCTATGTGAGAGAGAACCCTGACAACAAGGACCGTTTTTCCGAGACGCTCCAGTTCATGGTTTCCTTCCAACAAAGCAGAACGAGAGGGTCGACTGAAGATTTGTCCCGGTCAGCAGTAACCGCTCCGGAAGAGTCGGTGTGGGTAAGCAGAGCCACCATCTTCAATCACCTCAAACATGTGCCAACTCACATACACTTCTGCTGTGTGGAAGCTGTGGTGCGGGAGCTACCATAAAGTGGACGCACCTTCGCAATGCACTGCACTCGCCACACCCTCACCGGTCTTAGACTCTAAACAGTCGCGGCGAAAACGGACGTACAATTGACCTAAGTTACAAGAACTTAGCTTGGTAAAGAAGTGGCCGAGTAGGACTTAGATGACAAGAGACTGGGGAGAACCCAGTGGTTTGCCCATCCCAGCCCTACTTGCGCCTTTGCCGAAGTGAATTCCCAGGGGTCGTGCCTGGTCTGAAGCGGCTCACATTTGTTTCGGTATTCTTGAACTTCCAAAGTTCTTATGAAAATAATTAACAAAAATCGTTACTCATTTCAAGAAAATAAATAAAAAATGTAAAGAGTGTAGAAAAGGATTCACGAAATTTTTTTATTGAACGTCAAGACCTTTGAGATTTAAACTTCTTGCAACTTAATTACCAATTGCTCATTATAAAACTTTAAATATTTTTATAGTCTTAAAACCTTCCCATAAATCCTGTTTATATAATAATGCATAATGGAAGAATTCAATTATCAGAGGGATGGTCGTCCTGAGGGGTTTTAGGTAAAGGGGTGGTTAGTTAATGTATAGGGCTGGTAGTAATGGATGATTTTTTATTATTATTTATTATTGTTCTGTTTAAATGAATCCTTTCTTGATCTTTTAGCATGAAAAATATCTGACCCAGAAAAGAAATATATCTGGCACCGGTGGACGTTTAATTCGGCAAATGTTAAACCATAAATTACCCCGTCGAGTTCATTTCGACATCTTTCAACATGGTAGGAGAAAAAGGGCCCCGGGACCGCCAAAAGACCCTTTTGAACAAAGACTTTCACAAGCCATTTGGTAAATTATTTACGGTTCTGCATATTCTTCAGCAAGGTTGAGAGGACGTCACCCCCTCCCCAAAAACGTAAGGGTATTGGCTCTCTGATAAAATAAGGAAGCAGTTAGTTAAGTGGATGGAGATAAAGTAGAAACTTGGCTATACTTAGAGCTCTCTATATCGGCCAATATATCCTACTCTGGGGCCTTTTAATTTAATTGAAAACTTAATCAATGTTTCCCCTCGGGGAAGCAGTTTCCATTCAATTTCTGTCATGTCTTCTAGTCAGTTTGTAGTCAAACAATCGCTTTTTTAAAAATGACAAAACTAACATTGTTATTATATGCCCGAAACAACTATTCAAAAAAAAAAAAAAAAAAAAAAACAGCTAAAAATCTTACAAATATTTATTTTCTAGACACTCAACTAGAAGAACCTTATGTTGTATAAAATTGTTCATAAAGCCTATGAATCAATAAATATACTAATCGCTCCATTTCGTATATTTTATCTTGACAAAGAATGTTCTCAAAACTCCGAGGTGCTCGGCTAATAGCATTGTACCGTATTCATAACGATCGGACATGTTAACATTATGCTAATGCTCACAAGCTTCGAGTTAAAATCACAAATCTTCCTACATATTCAAGTACGTGTTCGTACATTCACGTTTTATGCTTCCCAATAAAGCTGCTCGGTGAATCCTAAAAACAAGTCCCTTTATACCTTCAGGAGTATAGCAAGAACTGAAAATATAAAAATTTTGCATTCTTATAAAAGAAATGTTCAAATCTGAAATGTTTCAAAAATAAACAAGAAACTCAAATTTAAAATCATAACCGAAATAGAGATGATTACCCACATTAGATCCGCTGGACTTCAGGCGAATAGGTTCGATAGAGGCAACTAGGAAAATAATTGATAATCTCTTGAATATGCAATATTCCACCATTGGCCTTTTCATATTAATTTCACATTAATAAATACATTCACTTTTAATATATATAACGGGATATATCGATCAAGCAGAACAGGCATGTTTCTTCCACAAATCGAAACAGAGACCCAGAGTGGCCAGAGCGCGATAATACTATTCAAATCGAGAGGCACGCCTTCTCGCCCTCTATAAGGAACCAGCGATTAACATCTTTCAATTAAACGGTACACTTTAGCCGTTTTTCATGACAAATCTTACTGAGAGACGATGGGGTACGCAATATTCCACCATGGGCCATCTCACACTAGACATTCATATTAATAAATAAATTCACTCTTATTATACACACAACGAGATATAGCTATCAAGTGCTATATAACAAAACCGCCTTGATGTCTCTACAAGTCGGAACAAACGACCGTCACTGTCGTACTTAACCATGATTCTCATATAGGAAGGCATTGTTACTCCCTCTATATATGGATCCAAGGAATAGTACCATTAAATGAGTAATTAAGTGAGACACATAAAGCAACCTGTTCTACACACGGGAAACATATGTGGGCTTGGACCAAAAATAGACGACAAGGTATCAACTTCACACGGCCCATACTTAATCTGATGATGATCGTCCGAAAGCCACATATCCTATGAGTGTACTACTGACTTGCATATCCACTATTCTGCACATGTATGTACATACGTACTCAAAGTATAGAATCGACTAAATTACCGCCAGGCTGCGAGAATTATTTACTTCGGGTTTTGGCGTTCAAGTCCGTCCCACCTCCAAAGCTAGGTCCACGGGCTGTCAACAGCTTGGTAATTTTTTCCCCCGAGCATAAGTTTTTAAATCTAAAACGAATCATTTTAAATATATTCTTTCCTCTTTACATAT